GATAACATTGTTTCTCCTTTTAGTCGGTGCGCTGAGCAATCTTCAGTCAGATTCAGTTTAAAATACACCGGGAGACACACACGTTGCTACAACACTACCCAATTAAAGCATGAAAAGTCTCTCAATTTATTTTGGATACGGTGCTCCGTAATCCCCAAAGAAGTATCTGTTTTATTATAATTGGTTCCAAAGCACCCATTCGAAACATCACTGTAGTGGCATCTCTATTTTGAAGACAGCTGCAAAGTAAGATAAGTGGAAAATATTACCGGTGTAGCACGAGTGTGATTTATAGAGTGGTTAAAATTTAAATATTTAGACTGTCGAGGCTACCTTACGCCTCTCAAAGTTCTTCAAAGGCGAACGGCATGATTTGAGACAATCTGAAGAGTCAATAAGGCCTACATGTCCAATTAGGGCTGGCAGGAATAAAAAGAAGTGAACGCAAACCAAGCTTTCATCACACAAAGCACAAATCGCTATGATGGCCATGTGTTGAAGCACAAACTTTATGATCTAGAAGGTACAGTTCTAGCTTTCCCCAGATTAAGATTAACTCTACTATCTACTATAAGTGACTGACACAATCATGAAGGATTCTATTAAAGAAACTTAGGGTAATATAATGATGACTTTATGTCCAGTTAACCAGCCATACAGCTAGCCATTTGTTTGTCACACCAACCTGCTGTACAGTTCTGCAACAACGTGATAAAGTGTTTACACGGGAGACAGTTATTACAAATGTAAAGATCATAGAAATGTATTTATTTCCTTTGGTTCCTGGTTTTCTTTTCTGAATAACCTGCTATTCCCAAGTAATCACCAGCCAGCCAGAGGTAAATCCCGCGTCTTTAATCGGATGTTATTCCATTCAATTACAATAATAATGAGGGCAGCTTTTGTGTTATTACACAGAAAACTTTGACATAGCAACAGTTCTAAGCAAAACTCATATATAAAACCAGGTGGATGCGAGATGGGAAAATCTCAAAGTGGACGCATATGGACCTGTTGGCTGTTCTTGTGATTTCAGTGGGCTATACAGGTGGGTCATAATACTGAGTTCATGGAGAAATTTCATTGTAAATCATGTATTTCTTGAAATAGGCTGAGAGTTTCAGAATGAGCAAAGAGCATTTCACTGTGAAAATGTCACTTTGTGATGATTTTGAGATCTTTTATGTCTTTCACAGATTTACCGATTGATGATGATGCATTCAAAAGATAAGATGAACATGAAACAGACAGAAAACATACATTTTGTAAACCTCTTCTTACCTAATAATAATTTAGGTACAGTCATGGATGCTGACTTGGGTTATACATTGTGAGGGAAGCATTTCATTTTAGGCGAGGGCTGTGGACATGTTAGCCAGAATCGCGGGTGAATATGTTGAAATGACTAATAATTCATTTCTGGTTACTAAATACACTTTTGTAATTATTATGTTATTGATTGTATTAAAAGTCAGATAGTGATGGCATCGCTCTGCACCATCCCTAACTTTGTTTTCACTGGTCAGTAGGCTGTGCACTTTATTCTAATAAATAGCATCATTTTACTTCTGCTGCAATTTTGTCATGCTCCTATTCTCCATCTTGACTACAAAAGGGACATAAACGTTATTTGAACTTTGAGCTCCATAACAGTGATAATCATGCCATAAGCATGTCATGACAAATGTCATGTCATCATGAGTTATGATGATATTTTGTTCAGTAATATCACAGTGTGATGTTACCATTAACAATAATTGTCATAATAGATGCCATAATTAGTGGCCGAAACATGAGTGCGTCTTACCTTTATGTATATTAGTATTTAGTATTTTATTCAGTATTTTGTTGCATATCTCTTCTTTGGGATGGAAGCTTGAAGGCTTATAGTCATGGAGTGCATGAGTCTGCTGACCTTCAGTCAGTCTTATTGGATTTTCTCTTATTGGCCAGTCAAGTTTGTTGGAAAGGGGCTTTCCAGAAGCAACACAGGAGAAACCTCTGGTTTGAACATGATGTGTGCATTTGGGTTAGTGTCTCAACACTTTGCTGGAAGTAAAAAGGGTGGTTAGGTGAAGGTTTTCTAGTTTGCTACTGTTCAGTCAAACCTCAAGCTATAATACAGATGAAATTATGTATTTTTGAATATGGAAAAGCACAATTTTTATATTACATTAACAAATTTAATAATTCTAAAGCAACAAATGATAACAACAGGGCTCCCAAGACTACTTTTGAGCACTGTATGCTTTGACAACTGCTCCCTAACACACAACGTGAATTCATTCATCCTTTGTTGGACAGGAAATTGTTCTGAAAAAACTTGCAATGCGACAGGAGAGGATCACTGAATCTGGAGACCAGCACTACAGCATAACTTTAAGACTGCATACTCTGTCCAACTTTGCCTACTGTGAGAAGGCAATAAATAAGGAATAGAGTCTGCCCTTGAATATCCTCTCTCTCTTTCTGAGTGATGTTCTGTTGATACCTCCAGGCTCACTCAGAATGAAGATGCCATTTGAAAAGGACCAAGCATGTAGAACAGCGCGACCTAAATTACAGGCTGGGTGTAAAGACATGATAAACTGAAGGCTCAGCTTTATCTGCTTTCTTTTATCTATGACGAAAGACATCAAGAGGTGCTTCTTCCATCTGCTTCGCTTTATTTAAGGTATTTGAAGTGTTCTTTTTCTTTCTTACAAAACTTTGTCTCAAGACTTTTCTGCTTCTTCAAATGAAATCAAACAGCTCATCACTCAGATTTCAGGGACGAGGGGAAATAATTATGTCTGTGAGCTAAAACCAGGTTTGGCTTTGAAGCTGAGCTTTTGCAAGAGAGAGTTACATTGCGCCAGAGTGGGTCAGGACCCTCTTTATTACACTAAAATGTCACAGGTGGACTGGCATTTAGGTTAATAAAGAGGATTATTGCTTGCATGGAAATAATAGGGCATCCTGTCATTAGAACACGGCCTTTGACCCTCTCTGAACTAGGCAATGCTTATACTGCGCTGGCTTATTAGGGAAGGAATACATTTCAGTATTTGAATAAGTTAACCTTTTCACCAACTTCTAAGACACCAGGTGTGATTATACAGGATAACAGGCTACCGGTGTGAAAAGAAACCCAAGAGAAGGTCAGTTAGCCAGGCACCTAAGCATTCTCAGAGAGAGCTGTATTTAACAGTTCTTTCACCCATTTCTTCTTAACCTTTTAAGGTTAACGCAAAAACAAGTGACAATTTTTGCCTTTTTATCCACTCTTTTCTTTCAAAAATAAGAATTTCTGAATGCTGTTAGTGCATTTATGTGATATGTAAAGAATGTGATCTAAGAAAGGCAAGAGTCTGGATTTTTGTGATCCTGAGATGTGTCACAAACTACCATTTTGAATAAATGTGTATATAATATGAATATTGCATCAGTCATGCTTTACAGGGACACTGAGGTACAAATAAAACAATATTAAACTCTTACTGATCTGAATTCTGAATAAGCTCATGTGCTTGCTCAGGAAACAAAAAACATAGTGCATCCATCAAGAAAGAAATACTTTGGCATATTTAATACGGTGATAAGAAACACAGTAGCACACAAAAAGCTCTGTTTCTGTGTGCTGACATTGATGATGAGGATCCCAACAAGGCACCGCATGAGCATGTGGTGTAACAAGGTTAAGGGGAACACGACGTCCATTATTCACATAAACAATCTGAAAGGCTGACTCAAATAACAAAACACTTTTCCACTAAGCCTCAATCTATTTCAGATAAGCTTGAGTCCAGAAAAGTCAGCAGTGTTTCTTGATGCTATGACTTCCATTGTGCATAGTACAGTCGTAAACTGCAATTGCTAATGCAGCAATGGCTGGTGTTTACTGACAACAGTCATTAAAGTATTCATGAGCCCATGTGTTGATAACCATCACAGAAGCATGCAGTGCCATCTGATAAAGGAATATGCCACTTTTGTACCCATGCATGACTGCATCACCTGTTTAGGATATTTTTTGAACATTTGGTAATATATCCTGTAATTCAGTAACTCTCATTCAGAGCAGTGGTGTAGGCTGAAATTAATTAGGTAGCAAAAGTGGGTAGGCCAACTTGGTAGATACAATTCCCAAACATGTTAATATCCTTTATCATTACATAAGGCTATCGACTATTCCTGACTGCACTACAGTCCTCACCCTAAGTATTCCAACAATTCTACCTTATGGTAAAACAAAATAACAGCAATCAACCAGAAAGTTGAATTTACAGATACGCAAGACCTTACATTACAAAGCATGTGTTCGCTCACTACAGACACATTTGCCCTATGAAGACGATATATTTAAGTAAAAATTACTTAGCAGAGAATGTACAAAGATGAGAAAAAAACATATTGCCACATTGAGTACAAAAATGTTTATAGTCCATTTTTGTCTTACCTGTCATGATTCAGTGCAATGAAGTAACGTTAGACGTTTGTTTTGACATTTTTTAAACAGCCCATTTGAGCTTTTGTAATAAATGAACATTTTAAGTATCAAATTGTCAGTGTTTTGGCAACTGTTTAAATTTGTTTTTGCCTTTAGATGGGTAGAAAATAACATAGTATACTGGACAAAATCTCTCTTTTTAATAGTCCCTGGTTACATCTTTTAACCGCAACTGGAGTTTAAATTCAAACACTGGCATGCTGATAACAAACTGAAGGCTCGAGGCAATGGCAGATAGCAGTGGCTATTAAGCAATGATTAGAGGGCTGAGAAAAGAAGTCAGAGCTTGGTGGAGAGCTTATTGATGTGATTGGTCATAATGCAGTAACAACTCTGGGAGAAAACAAAGCAAATTTCATTATCTTCCAAAGTTCTGCCTCATAAACATTCTTTCCTCATTTGATTAGTTAGGCCTATGATCAATCTGGGTAGGCACAGGCCCACGCAGGCCTACCTGTGGCTACTCCCCTGACTCAGAGTAATGCAGAAGGTATAGCGTGTTGAGATTTACCTTCCGGATGTCGGAGGCCAGTTGCAGTAGAGAGGGTGATGCTGTGGTCTGTGGTCCTCGTTCTCTTACTGGACTGTGAAGGCTGACATAGGCCACTGCCCTGCTCTCCAGAACTACTCTGTTCTCCTGGAAGCACATCGAACCACATCAGCAAAAGAATGAGATATCCTATTTGAAATAGATAATGAACATGTTGCTCAGGGTTCACTATCAGCTGTATCACCATCATCATCATCGTCATCATCATCACCCTCATTGTAAATTAGCATAAAACGTGGACGTTACTCAGCATCGATCACCAATACTAAAAGTACTTTCAGAATGAAGAAGAACCACTACCTGCCAGAACAATCACATTAAACATGACGCACTGCCACTGTCTTCCATCTGTCTGATTTAATTTTGCACGCTTTGCTGGTTATGTTCGAGAGCAATATTTTTCCCCTGTCATCTAGTGTTCTGTGGCTTGAAGTCTCGAGGACAGCCTGTACCATTTTCTTTCTCTTCTGCTTTGGTTATCAAGGCAAGAAAAACATAACAAATGGGTAAACACACTTGACCTCCTATTATACCCAATACTGGCTCACAGAGGTGCAAGCAATCCACTAATTTGGTAATTGAGAAGCGTTAGGTGATTTTCCTGTCTGCTATTCATGCATGTGTATTGCAGAGGCAGTCTGTAAGCTAAGAGGGCAACTTCCTTTCTGATCCTAGGATGAGGGCACTCAAGCACCTAAGAGAGGGACGTTTAACCCTATCTTACAAAGCATCTCATCAACAATAAATTGAGAAACTATGGCTTTGTCCCCTTTAACTTGTTAAAATCAAATCAGCATTGAATCAGCATATGGATTTGGTGCTTTTTGGTGCTTTTGGTGTGCCACTGTGTTTTCTATCACTGTAAATAAGCATGATGCTGTCTTCATAGTTCAATGCACTACACCATTTTCTGAGCATGTGTCCATAAATTCAGAGGGGAATTCCTGTTATTAATTTTAAATATTAATTCCTGCTAATGTTATTAGTTTGTTGCATTATCTAGAGACTGATAATATAACACTATTTATTTTTTTTACTAATAATGTAATGTATAAATAGGAATTTATTACATTCTCAATAATTACATGAAGTCTTCAGTATGTAAAAAGGGTTTTAGAGAAGATTAAGGTTTCTGCAAAAGGTTTCTCTCTGGAGAGCATCACTGGCCCTGGTTAATTGGATGTGGTGCTGTGGAATATGAAGAAAAAATAATCATAATGTAGCATTTGAGAGAATTTGTTTTGAGATTAAGTGTCTATTCCATCAAACCAAAAAAAAAAACTAAATATCATGATACATACATTACTGTGCAGAAGTCGACCACATCTATTTAATTTCTATTGCAAAAGACTATTATGTACAAATTATTCATTATTCAGTAGAAAACCAATAAATTGATCAGAAAACTACTCAGAAGCCTCGACAACTACATACAGCACTTTTTTATTACAGCTCCATTATTTTTCCACACCTCCAAAGTTCAGTATTAGAAGTTGGTTGCGTTTTCTGCTTCTTACGATCCAAGCAATCCTAAACACATTCAATGATGTCCAGGTCTGGACACTGGGGTGGTTAGTACATTGTTCTAAGAACACCAGCAGCTTCTTTGCTTGATTAGCGAATGTTCTTTTTTTGTCTATTTCCTTCTTTCAGTAAAGGCCTCTTGACAGGTACACATTCCTTCAGAACCATAGCACTGAGTTGTCTTCTCACAGTCTAAGGATGGACAGAAACACCTGTGGATTTTTTTTCAGATCTGAAGCAAGAGTGGAGCTTGATTTTCTCCTGTCTATCAAAGATCACAACTAAGTACTGATGATGACAGTTTGGTGGTCTACCAGGTCATTTTCACTGTATCTTTTAATAATTTTTTGAATGCAAGTTCTGGAAACTTCTGTTAAATCTTATACTTTATACTTTCATTAGAAATATCTCCTCAAAAACGGATACTAATTTAAATATTTGGAAATGAACCCTCTAATAAGTCATGGGCCAGCTAGCAGGCCCAAAGAATAATTACACACTTCTATAACCTTGTTAGTTTGCACTGAAGTCCCTGTAGCGAATGAATAACAAATCTTTGTTTGTAATAAGCCTTGATTGTTAAGGGGTTAAATAAATGAAGGGTGGTCTCTGACTTTTGCACAGCACTGTATGAATATGTCTTTAAATATGGTAATGTTACATTATTGCCATATCCCCCACCACTAGGTTAAACATTACCTCCCCCCATTCATAGGAGCCGATGCTGCCGAGTGCTGATCCCCCCCATGAACAGAAGATGGTGGTGCGGTCGGGCTGCCAGCCCGCGCGGGTTTGAGCTGTCAAGGAGGCGATGATTTGAGTCATGACCGCAGCGCCGCCACTCCAGTCTGCCATAGCGCCCTCGTACCAGCTGCTGTGACGGCTGCCAACCAGCACATATCGATCTGCATGGTGAAGGCCAGACCAAGAGTACGCAGTCAGAACCGAGTACACACAGAAACCCACACAAAACCCACACATATACACATACGCACACAAAGAGCTGAGCCAAATAAAAGAGAGAACTTCTCGAAAGCCTAGCTGCAAGCTGTGATTTTCGGCAGCTGTGGTGAACATTACACTGGATTGCCTTTGAGTGACAGCCGAGAGGCAGAAACAGACTAATAAATCTGATAGGTGTTTGAACAAACGCAGGGGGTGAGACATATTTTAACCCGCACATGCTGAGGCATGGCGGATGAGCCTTCAAGCTTTCAGAGAAGTTATTAGAATCCTGGCAAATCAATATATAAGAACAAGAACAACAAGCTAAATTAAAAGCAAACATTTGCAGCAAAGTCACCGGACAAGGAGACTAACTTTAGAACCATATTTCATAATGGGGTGGGCACTTATGACATCGTAAAAAGGGTCCGGTAAATCTTGTAAGCAATTTCATACAAGCTTTTAACTTACGGAGGAGGAGAAAGATTAAAGACCCCCATTGCATCAGGGAAAATGATTAAATCATTCAGAGAGGGCAAATGCTGGTCAGTAATTAAATGGCTATTTTCAGCAGCCAAGTGGACATTTTCAACAGCATGTGGACATTGTTTTAAGAGCAGTTTGTCATGGCGCAGAAAAAAAGACCTGCCTCAGCACCTGGATGCCTTTTCTCTCTCTCTCTCTCTCTCTCTCTCTCGCTCTCTCTCTCGCTCTCTCTCTCTCTCTCTCTCTCTCTCTCTCTCTCTCTGCCTGAGCCTCTGAGAAACTGTATAGGACTCTTCGATGTGTACCTTTGACATATTAAGCTGTCCAATGCATGCAGACAAAACAATGGCGTAACATATTACAGTGCCATATATGCGCGTCTGCCAGCATTTTGTAGGCTTATGTAGATCACAGAGGGCTCTTCTTAAATGTTAATATTTTACATTAAAATTTGTTAATGCTGCATCAAATTAAATGTACACTTTAGCTCCCATTCACATTTAAGCCTTTAGCAGTCTATGAACAAATTCATACCTGGATTAATCTTCCCTTTCAGGTACCCAATGACATTATGTACTTTTGCATAGGATGTTTGAGATCCAATGGTCAGCTTTATAGTCTTTAGTCCTGAGACAATTAGTTAAAGCTCCACTATATATGATTTTTGGTTAAAACTGAAAGAAGTAGCATTAGTGAATAAACAAAAAATACATAAATCGGTGTGCGTGCGCTGCTGTTAGTCACTTTGTAAAGCCTGAAATAATATTTTAAAAAGTCAGAGACATCAAGTCAGATTTCACAGTTTTTGACTACGTTACTATGTATGTCACACACCACACACACAGTCTCATATCCAGGTCTCAAACGCAAAATCAACATTGTACTGAAGAAGAAGACAATAGTAGACAGTTCACTTATAACCTTGGAAGACACATCCTTCAATATGTTTTGACTCAGTTCTCTTTGAATACTCTTTCAACATGCTTACAATCATCAGACTCATCCTCTCTGCAAAAAGATCTAAAGCAAAACTGGCATTACGAAATGTTCTTTCACATGTGCACAATTACACATTTCCAAATCCCCAAAACTCATGATTTCAAGCTAGTTGAAATAATAAAGGTGCCAAAAGCACTGATGACATAGAAGACCCACTTTGCTAAAGAACTTTTCAATGGCTACTTTTTTAAAGGAATTTTGTGAAATGTGTTTTGAATCAACAGGTTTTCTGTCCTTTAAATAAGGACAAGGAAAAGTAGTGAAATTACGGTTTGTGATAAGCCTATATAATTTAGAAGCAACAGGTGGAAATGAGGTTAAGCTTATTACTAAAAACCTAATTTTAAGCCTTATGTGGTGTTCAAGTCTGGGTGACCAATTTTCATCTTTGAACATATAAAATAACACATTTTCAACGTCTTCACACTGTTCACCCCCTACACATTTATATTACACATGTGGTGTTGGGGTGAACCCATGGAGAAAAAATGTGTGGAGGTGCTGTGTCCCTTCACTCTGTTCTCCTCCTACATGACCTGCTGTTAGTGTGTGTGTCTGTGTGTGCATGTGTTTGTATATATATGTGCATGTGTGTGAGGGTGGACAACATGGACAGGCTGCTGACTGGCTACAGCTGGAAAAGGAGAACCCTACGCTGACCACATGTGATATTTTAAACATCTGGTATTTTTACATAAAACAAAACAATAATGTTGTGGGTCCACCAGACCACTGAGTAACAAAAACATCAACCCCACACAAGGGTTAAGAGTGTATGAGACAATATAGTATTGGCACATTGACAATTTGCAAAACTGTCCCACCTCACTTGGTTATTGTTGTTCCATCTACCAAACTTTCAGTTTAGGCTATCTGGTAGCATCCATTATACTAGAGAAGTATATTTGAAACATTCTTCAAAAATAAACTAGTTTTTAGTGCAGACATATATGCATAAGAAATGCCAAAACATGCATATTGGCTAGTTTAAAGTGAAAAAATAAAAAATGGATTCTGGAAACCATGTTCACTTTAATCAAACCAGTCACTTGATATCAAACTGGTTTTCATGTACAACCCCAAATCAGAAAAAGTCAATATTAAAATTAAAGTTAAATGAAAAAAGTGATTTGAAAATTATTTTGACGTGTATTACATTGAAAACGATACAAGAAGCACATTGTTTGATGTTTTACTTAATGAATTCTATTGTTTTTTGTGAAAATAAACACTTCTTTTGATTTTGATTCTTGCAACATATTTCAAAAAAAAGTGGGGCCAGTAAAGCATTTACCACTTTGTAAAGTTGCACCAAGTGATGAAGTGTTTTAGCTGTAATTTTGTTCCTTCTTCCTGCAAACGAGTTTTAAGGTGGGCAATAGTTTGCATTTTAAAATGCACCACACATTCTCTATTGGGGCTAGGTTGGGACTGCAGGCATGCCAGTCGAGCACCCACACCTTCGTCTTCCACAGCCATGCCTTTGTAATGTGTGCAGTATGTGGTTTTGCATTGTCTTGTTGAAATATGCATTGGCGTCCCTGGAAAAGATGATGTCTTGAAGGCAGCATTCGTTGCTCCAAAATTTCTATGTACTTTTCGGCATTAATGGTCCCATCCCAAAAGTGTGGGTTATCTTTGCCAAAAGCGCTGACACAGACCCTGGCTTTTGGATTGTTGATGGTAACAGTCTGGATGGTCCTTTTTGTCTTTTGTTTCGGAAAGTGTCCATTTCTTCCAAAAAAGACCTAAAGTACTGATTCATCTGATCACAATACATGTTTTCACTGTGTGATGGTCCATCCCAAATGCCTCTGAGCCAGAGAAGTGGATGGTGCCTCTGGACATGGTTAACATAAAGTTTTATCTGGCATTTGTGGATTTAACTATGTATTATAGTGCTTGACAAAGCTTTACCAAAGTAATCCTGAGCTCACGTGGTTATATCGCTTATAGATGAATGACAATTCTTGATGCAGTGCTGTCTGAGGGATTGGGCAGCACATTCAGCTTAGGCTTGTGCTCTTGAGCTATATGCACTGAAATTCCTCCTTTAATTATGTTATGCACAGAGGGTGAAATATCCAAATTCCTTTCTTTGAGGAACATCGTTTTTAAACATTTCAATAATTTTCTCACACATTTGTTGGAAAACTGGCGATCCTCGAACCATCTATACTTGGAGAATAGGCCTTTCCTGGATGCTGCTTTTGTACCAAATCATGATTACAATCACCTGGTGACATCACCTGTTTTGAATCACATAATCATTTAATCATTTTACCTCATTACTAGTCCTGCATTGTCCCATCCCAACTTTTAATGGAATGTGTTGCAGGTCTGAATGGCAGGAATGGATGTACATTTACCAAAGAAATGAAGCTGACCAGACGAAACATGAACTATCTCGTGTCCACATTGTCTGCAATGAAACACAAGTCAGAGTAAATTTTGGAAATCAATGCTTTCTTTTTTTTTATTTACATTTTCCATACTTTCCCAACTTTTTCTAATTAGGGGTAGTACAATAAGGAGGAGGTTTTAAGCACGGAAGTCAACCCTTCAGATGAACTACTGCTAAAGCTAACACTGGAGCTATTCAGTGCTAAGGAGAACTCATCATATTTAACATAAAGTCTTTCATGAAAAAGATGAAACAATACAAATAACATCACGTGTACAAGTGCATTCGTGTTTATCTTTACACAGAATGTGTGCACTGTACAGTCCTGTTTAATCTGACTGATTTATCAAGTGAAGTTAAGAGAAGCTGATTAGTTAAGCTAAATGATCTTAACATTTTTCTGTTATGGTATCATTGGATACAGTCATTTTCAACCCAGATAAAATTTAGCTCACCTTAGAGCCAGTATACGTCAGCCTGTTGATAGTTTTAACATTGAGCTGTGAGTTTGGTCTTCCACACAGAATAATCCAAAAAAATTTTCAGCTCCAGCTCTGTTTTTTTAGGATAGGATGTCTCAGGCATTATACGTTCCTCAGCACCTCTGCAGCCTTTCTCAGACTAATAATTTTGTCTAATTTACGGCCACTACCGTTCTCACTGCAAGTATGTTCTAAGGAGTTTTTTTCCTTCACTTGGCGGAGGAAGGAACATTTAGAGACAATTGTGATTGGCTGAGAGGCGTGTCAATCACATTTTTGCAAACAGTTAATTGGCACACGAACATGGAACAATAGTGGAACGGCTGGGAAGACTGACTCTCTGGCTTAGATTAACAATAACGAGCAGTGTGTGTGGGGAGAGACATAGAGAGAGAGATAACCTGTTCCAATAACATTTGATCTGTCAGAGCTGAAGCACATGGGTAAAGCCACAGGAGGCTTTTATACCTGGTGGAGGTCATTTATTTTGAAAACTCACCTCATTGATTGCCAGCCCCATCCCCAGTAACACTCGAACGATCGCACTTCTGTTCTGAGCACATACAATCCACAGCAGCTCTCACAAAGCATCTCTTAAAGTTGATGTGAAAGCAAATAAAACCCCCTCTACCTGTCCCTCACGCACTGCAGCACGGGCTAAGCCAGCAAATACATCAGGGAAATGAAGAGGAGCTATAAGATACTGAGATTATTGTTGCTCCTCTCTCAGGACCCTGCCAATTATACACAGAAGAGCACAGGGGTGAACATTCATCTAGCTCATATCTCAATAGATGAAAGCAGGCCTGTCATAATAAATTGATTCAACTTAATTACCTGGTTAAAAAATGGATTTAAATATACCCTCTTAATGAATCAGCAGTGTTTAGTTGGCAATTTCACTGATGCATATTTTAAATATTTTAAATTGTGATTGGGAGCAGATGCATCTGATTATGGTGACCAAAGAGAACTCAGTCAAAACTTGGTGAAGGATGTGTCTTCCCTGGATGTAATGAAATTATCATCTGTTGTTATCTTCATCAGTGTGATGTTGATCTTGATTTTGAGACCTAAAGACCGAGCCAGACTTTCTTTTTGAGTCTGTGTGTGTGATGCTAACATATGAAGACGTATGACGTGGTCCAAAAAGCTCCTGCGAAATCCGACCCGACGCCTCTGACTTTTTCGTTACTATTTCAGGCTTTACTGGGTGACTCACAGCAGTGCAAGGACATGATATTTTGTCATTGCTCAGTTTAGTTCACTGTTGGCCTTTTTTTGACTTTGATGAATTTGACTCAATTGACCATCAAAATAATTAGCAGATTACTCAGTGCAATTTGGGGATTTGGAGACCTCTCTGGTGGAAATGTGTAATTGCACATAACATGTGGAAGAACATTTCGGGGTTTAGACCCCTTCCCCAAGCGGATGAATCTGATGACTGCCTGAAAGTTGAAAGAGTATTCGAGGAGAAATCCATCAAAACTCAGCAAACGACATGTCTTCCAATGAAGATTATCATTAAAGATATGATTATCTATCATATCTTTATCAGTACAATGTTGATTTTGCATTTGAGACCTAAACATCAAGCTCAACCTTCTTTTTCAGCCTGTGACAATAACATGTAAAGAAATATGGCATGGTCCAAAAACTCCCATTAAATCCTACCTGACACCTCTGACTTATAGTTTCAAGCTTGACTCGCAGTAGTGCATGCATGCCATATTTTACAA